GCCTAATAAGCCAAGTTTTCCTTAATTAATATATTTTCTCTAATTTTTTTCTTATGAAATGATAAAGCTACCCATTTCATTATGTATGATGTCAATTTTTTTTTATTGGAGTTAAAATTAACGAAGATATATGACCGAACCTAACCAACCCTACCTAACCTAACATAACCTATCTTTATAAGTTAGGTTAGGTTAGGTAGCCGAAAAAGTTAAGTTAGGTTAGGTTAGGTAGGTTAGGTAGTCGAAAAACAATTAATTCATGAAAACTTGACTTATTAGGCAAATCGGGCCTTGCATAGTAGGCTGACAAGTGCGTTCTGGCTACTAGGTACGACATATATATATATATATATATATATATATATATATATATATATATATATATATATATATATATATATATATATATATATATATATATATATATATATATATATATATATATATATATATATATATATATATATATATATATATATATATATATATATATATATATATATTATATTTCGTTCAACGAAACCCTTACTTTTAACAATGAATTTCGCCCCTCTGAAGTCGATAGAATGATCACACAAACTGGAATGTAAATACAATGCACTGGAGTGCTGGACTATAGGAATAGCATATGAATGTTGTTTTAAACGCTAGAGAGGTATTTACCTGCCTGACTGATGTAAACACATGCACACTCATTACAAGGGATGGAGTACACACAACCTGCTACAGACGAGGGCAAGTTCTTAATTAACATGGACCTAACCGGTCGGGAGCCGGTCGGCCGAGCGGACAGCACACTGGACTTGTGATCCTGTGGTCCCGGGTTCGATCCCAGGCGCCGGCGAGAAACAATGGGCAGAGTTTCTTTCACCCTATGATCCTGTTACCTAGCAGTAAAATAGGTACCTGGGTGTTAGTCAGCTGTCACGGGCTGCTTCCTGGGGGTGGAGGCCTGGTCGAGGACCGGGCCGCGGGGACACTAAAGCCCCGAAATCATCTCAAGATAACTGTATTATTATTTTTGAACACTGGGATAATATTGATAAGGTTTTTCAGGGCTGGGGGCAAGATTTACTAGTTCATAAAAATATGGTAATATCAACGAGGTTTTTAGTTCTGGTTTAGACTTGGGAGTTTGTGGCTTTTCTGCATAAGTACAGGAGGGAGGCTCACGACGCTTCCCCGGGTGCTGCATATTGTCTTCCTCAAGGCTTAGAGTCCCCTCACGAACTATCCCAGAAAGGTGGTATACTCTCTTACATGAAGTAGCCTAGTCATTTAGGTTTGTATATCGCCTAACATTCAGTCAGTATAGGGTGAAGGTCAGCCTATTTAATTCTTTGAAGAGACAGTCTCGTGAGAGAATGATTTGGGTAAGTCGTGTCACTGCTTGCATAAACCAACTCTTCAAGGAAGCAGCCAATATTGCATTCTCTTACCTTTGATTAATACAAGCTACAACTAACCTTTTGATCTACGATTAGTTGTATATTTATACAATATAAATACTGTAGTTTATTGAATATAAACTGCAACTAACCTTTTTATCTACAATTGTATATTTATACAACATAAATATTGTAGTATCATATTGTATATTAACTTCAACTAACCTTTTTACCCACACTTAATTGTATTATTTTTTTAATATATCACAATCTTATATTTATCACCATAAAAATGAGTTTACTTCTAAATGTTCTCACAGGGAAAAACCTTGAGACCTTTCTTTATGGCGAGCCACGTCTCCCCAGCCAGTGTCTGGGCGTCAACTGAAAGTAGTAGTCAAGGTCTATATTTACTTGTCCCACATAGTCGTGTGCTGTGTGATTCAGCAGTTATTGCCGTCATCTTGAGGAGTGTCCCTTGATTGTCTTTAATAGCAGAAACTGTGAAACATGATTACCATATACAAAATACTCAGGGGCGACCAAATTAATGGCATCAGAGTTAGCCAAATGCTGGTTAGCAAAATATTCAAATGATGACAACTTTCGTAGCTATGCAATGGAATTAAACTTGTGTCTCAGGGTCACACATTCCCCAAACTCGCGTACCTTTTTGGTGTCTTCCAGATTCCTTGTAAGTACCTTGAGGTTACACCTCAGGTATCATTTGGAAGTAGAGTAGAATTCCGGTTATGTATATATATATATATATATATATATATATATATATATATATATATATATATATATATATATATATGTGTGTGTGTGTGTGTGTGTGTGTGTGTGTGTGTGTGTGTGTGTGTGTGTGTGTGTGTGTGTGTGTGTGTGTGTGTGTGTGTGTATGTGTGTGTATATTTGTCCACAGACCCCAACGATACCATTAATAACCTCAAACATGTGACGACATGTTAGTGGCGACGAGGTTCCTGTCATTCTCGAACCCTGCTGTCTTATCCTGTGTCTAGGTCACATGTGGACTCATTCTCTCCCTCTTTAGCCGTGTTACTGTATGATAAGGGTACAGGATGATTTGATAAGGGATCAGGACGACGTGATAAGGAGCAAGGACGAGATGATAAAGGGTCAAGAACGAACCAAAACATTCTCATGATGTCACATTTGTGTTACGTGTTGGTTGTTCCACTGACGCATCATCGTAAGCGTCTCTGCATCTGGATTACCTTAAACATGATTCAGTCTTGTTAATACCGACTACATGACCGCGTGTTGAATAGTCATAAACTTATATTCAAGAGAGAAGTATTAGCTTTATGTTAATGCATCGTCTATTAAACTAATTCACAGGAGTTACATAGGAGTTTTCACTGGAGTTACATAGGAGTTTTATCATACAAATGATTAATCTATACGTCAACAGCCGGACCTGTGTCATTGTAGCTACCTCATCTCAGTGTGCTTGAGCGATGGTGGGATATTATGACCTCATTGTAAAATGACGATGAAAAAATATATCAAAACTTCCCCTGGAGGATTTTCTGACCACTAAGCATATATATAACAGATCAACCCGTCCTCTTAAAAATAACGTCACTTTTCGCTGGTATGCGCGCTATTGCCAAATTTGGACGTAATTTGAAATGACATCGACTCACAAAAGTGTCGTACTGTTCCGTTTTCTGTTTGAGTCGTCCGGATTACTCTGCAAGGTTAGAAGAGGCAACTTTCCATTAACGTTTTTCATACCGTTTTGAAACTTTATGAGAATTTCCTGCCCACCTAACCTATCAGAGGACCCTTAACTTACTGTTGTTGAAGAAAAAAATCCCAAATTTATTTTCATTTTTTTTTTCTTTTCAAATTACGTCCATATTCGGCCATACGGGCAAACGGCCAAAAGCGACGTTCTTTTTAAGAAGATATCAAATGTGATTTTAAATATCACATAATAATTTGGTGGGTATTTTATGTGTTATATAGAACCTTAATTACACAGGTAATATAAAAGCATTTCCACCTTTCACATATTTTTCTGACAACATTTCCACCATCTAGGTTTTTTTTGGGAGGTGGTGGGGGATTGAGGAAGGGAAGGGAATTATCAGAGGGAAAGCGCCAAGCCATTACGTCTATACAGCACAGGGAAGGGGTCAGGATAAGGATTTGGGACGGGACGGGGGGGGGGGGGAATGGTGCCCAACCACTTGGACGGTCGGGGATTGAACGCCGACCTGCAGGAAGCGAGACCGTCGCTCTATCGTCCAGCCCAAGTGGTGTAAGATGCAAAGCATAAATAAGTTGATATGTAAATTGTAGCGATGTTGAACGTGCTGAGGACCGCATACATTGTATATTTTTCCTTCCTTTAATCAGACCTCAAGGTGAGCCCTTTGTTCTTCAAGGAGTGCCAACAGACCATCAAGGAGTGCCAACAGACCATCAAGGAGTGCCAACAGACCATCAAGGAGTGCCAACAGACCATCAAGGAGTGCCAACAGGCCATTATGGAGTGCCAACAGGCCATCAAGGAGTGCCAATAGGCCATCAAGGAGTGCCAACAGGCCATCAAGGAGTGCCAACAGACCATCAAGGAGTGCCAACAGACCATCAAGGAGTGCCAACAGGTCATCAAGGAGTGCCAACAGGCCATCAAGGAGTGCCAACAGACCATCAAGGAGTGCCAACAGGCCATCAAGGAGTGCCAACAGGCCATCAAGGAGTGCCAACAGGCCATCAAGGAGTGTCAACAGGCCATCAAGGAGTGCCAACAGGCCATCAAGGAGTGCCAACAGGCCATTATGGAGTGCCAACAGGCCATCAAGGAGTGCCAACAGGCCATCAAGGAGTGCCAACAGGCCATCAAGGAGTGCCAACAGACCACATGAGGACATTGTGCTATTGTTATCGACATAATTTGACGGGGAAAATCCGGGGGAAATAGTAATGAGTGAGGACCGGGTTACTGGGGAGGTCTGTGTCACGGCCCCCTGCTGCTGCTGCTGCTGCTGCTACTGCTGCTGCTGCTGCTGCTGCTACTGCTGCTGCTGCTGCTGCTGCTGCTACTGCTATTGCTGCTGCTGCTGCTGCTGCTGCTGCTGCTACTGCTGCTGCTGCTGCTGCTGCTGCTGCTACTGCTGCTGCTGCTGCTGCTGCTGCTGCTACTGCTGCTGCTGCTGCTACTGCTATTGCTGCTGCTGCTGCTGCTGCTGCTGCTGCTGCTACTGCTGCTGCTGCTGCTGAAGCTGCTGCTGCTGCTGCTACTGCTATTGCTGCTGCTGTTCCTGCTCCTGCTGCTCCTTTTGCAGCAGAATGCTACCCCTAATCCTCCTCTTCCTCCACTCCCTGGCACCAGAGTAACAGACAAGAGAGAAGACAGCAACAGACGTGACAAGAAACAGTGGACAAATAGAGACGCAGGAGTGACAGGAATATCTGACGAGTCTAAACGGAAGACGTCAACATTGCGAGGGGCGAGATGGGAATCCCCGGCGCCTCCTGTTTACTCCTGTTGAGACCGGTCTCATGTGGGTCACGCTGTTGCTTTGTGGGGAGAGGGGTGGGGCTCTGTGGGAGGGGAGGGGTGTTGGTGCTCTATGGGGGGTGTTGGTGCTCTGTGTGCGAGGGGATTGTTGGTGCTCTGTGGAGGTTGTTGGTGCTCTGTGGAGGTTGTTGGAGCTCTGTTGGCGAAGATGTTGCTCTGTGGAGGTTATTGGTGCTCTGTGGAGGTTGTTGGTGCTCTGTTGAGGAAGTTGGTGCTGTGGTTGCTGTTGGTCCTCTGTGAAGGTTGTTGGTGCTCTGTGAAGGTTGTTGGTGCTCTGTGAAGGTTGTTGGTGGTCTGTGAAGGTTGTTGGTGGTCTGTGAAGGTTGTTGGTGGTCTGTGAAGGTTGTTGGTCCTCTGTGAAGGTTGTTGGTCCTCTGTGAAGGTTGTTGGTCCTCTGTGAAGGTTGTTGGTGCTCTGTGGAGGTTGTTGGTGCTCTGTGAAGGTTGTTGGTGCTCTGTGAAGGTTGTTGGTCCTCTGTGAAGGTTGTTGGTGCTCTGTGGAGGTTGTTGGTGCTCTGTGAAGGTTGTTGGTGCTCTGTGAAGGTTGTTGGTGCTCTGTGAAGGTTGTTGGTCCTCTGTGGAGGTTGTTGGTGCTCTGTGGAGGTTGTTGGTGCTCTGTGAAGGTTGTTGGCGCTCTGTGAAGGTTGTTGGTGCTCTGTGGAGGTTGTTGGTGCTCTGTGGAGGTTGTTGGTGCTCTGTGAAGGTTGTTGGTGCTCTGTGGAGGTTGTTGGTGCTCTGTGAAGGTTGTTGGTGCTCTGTGGAGGTTGTAGGCGCTCTGTGGAGGTTGTTGGCGCTCTGTGGAGGTTGTTGGAGCTCTGTGGAGGTTGTTGGCGCTCTGTGGAGGTTGTTGAAGCTCTGTTGAGGAAGTTGGTGCTCTGTGGAGGTTGTTGGTGCTCTGTTGAGGAAGTTGGTGCTCTGTGGTTGCTGTTGGTGCTCTGTGGAGGTTGTTGGTGCTCTGTGGAGGTTGTTGGTGCTCTTTGGGGGTTGTTGGCGCTCTGTGGAGGTTGTTGGTGCTCTGTGGAGGTTGTTGGTGCTCTGTGGAGGTTGTTGGTGCTCTGTGGAGGTTGTTGGCGCTCTGTGAAGGTTGTTGGTGCTCTGTGGAAGTTGTTGGTTCTCTGTTGAGGAAGTTGGTGCTCTGTGGAGGTTGTTGGCGCTCTGTGGAGGTTGTTGGTGCTCTGTGGGGGTTGTTGGTGCTCTGTGGAGGTTGTTGGTGCTCTGTGGAGGTTGTTGGTGCTCTGTGGAGGTTGTTGGTGCTCTGTGGAGGTTGTTGGTGCTCTGTGGAGGTTGTTGGCGCTCTGTGAAGGTTGTTGGCGCTCTGTGGAGGTTGTTGGCGCTCTGTGGAGGTTGTTGGCACTCTGTGGGGGTTGTTGGCGCTCTGTGGAGGTTGTTGGAGCTCTGTGGAGGTTGTTGGCGCTCTGTGGAGGTTGTTGGTGCTCTGTGGAGGTTGTTGGAGCTCTGTTGAGGAAGTTGGTGCTCTGTGGAGGTTGTTGGTGCTCTGTGGAGGTTGTTGGTGCTCTGTGGAGGTTGTTGGCGCTCTGTGGAGGTTGTTGGCGCTCTGTGGAGGTTGTTGGCGCTCTGTGGAGGTTGTTGGTGCTCTGTGGAGGTTGTTGGTGCTCTGTGGAGGTTGTTGGCGCTCTGTGAAGGTTGTTGGTGCTCTGTGGAGGTTGTTGGTGCTCTGTGGAGGTTGTTGGTGCTCTGTGGAGGTTGTTGGTGCTCTGTGGAGGTTGTTGGTGCTCTGTGGAGGTTGTTGGCGCTCTGTGGAGGTTGTTGGCGCTCTGTGGAAGTTGTTGGTTCTCTGTGGAGGTTGTTGGTGCTCTGTGGAGGTCGTTGGTGCTCTGTTGAGGTTGTTGGTGCTCTGTGGAGGTTGTTGGTGCTCTGTGGAGGTTGTTGGTGCTCTGTGGAGGTCGTTGGTGCTCTGTGGAGGTTGTTGGTGCTCTGTGGAGGTTGTTGGTGCTCTGTGGAGGTTGTTGGAGCTCTGTGGAGGTCGTTGGTGCTCTGTGGAGGTTGTTGGTGCTCTGTGGAGGTCGTTGGTGCTCTGTGGAGGTTGTTGGTGCTCTGTGGAGGTTGTTGGTGCTCTGTGGAGGTTGTTGGTGCTCTGTGGAGGTTGTTGGTGCTCTGTGGAGGTTGTTGGTGCTCTGTGGAGGTTGTTGGTGCTCTGTGGAGGTTGTTGGTGCTCTGTGGAGGTTGTTGGAGCTCTGTGGAGGTCGTTGGTGCTCTGTGGAGGTTGTTGGTGCTCTGTGGAGGTCGTTGGTGCTCTGTGGAGGTTGTTGGTGCTCTGTGGAGGTTGTTGGTGCTCTGTGGAGGTTGTTGGTGCTCTGTGGAGGTTGTTGGTGCTCTGTGGCGGTTATTGGCTCTCTGACAAGATTGGTTACATATTCAGAAAAAGCTCTATACTTTCACGTGCCTACTTATATAGTGACTGCTGTCACTACCTGTTTGTTGTAAATGTATAATGACAGGTGATTAGCAATGATGACTGGTGAGTTTGCACGATGTACTCTAGGTTGATTGGTTTACTTAATGGAGAGCGTACTACTGGCGTTTCACTGCTTGGGTTGGTTGGGTGGGTTCCCTGGGGGGTGGTCAGGGGGTGGGGGTCCCTTGGGGGGGTCTGGGGGGGTCGTACTCATGAACATTGACCAATAAGGGTCGTCAATCCAGCAGGCACGACCTCCTAGCTGTGAGTGAAACATTGTTTACACTCACGACTTATGACTGATGACGTTCGAACTTCTCCCGAACACTGTTTCACTCGCTACCTGTGTTCGAACACACACATCTTTTTTTATTTTATTATTTGCTTCTCCAACGATTTGAAAATATAAATACTTGCTAGCACAACCGAAACAACCCCTAACCAAACCTAACCTAGGCCTAAGTATAGAAAATATACTTAATAATACTAATAATAATGATAATAATAATAATAATGTAACGTACGATTATGTTACGGTGTTGGGTAGATTAGATACACAGTGTTTAGTGAGTTTCATATTTATTTAGTAGACCTGGATACAGTAGTGTCGTAGACGTTGAGACGGAGCTTGGAGCAGAGCAGAGAGCTGAGTGTGGCTAGAGTCGCGGAGCTCTATGTGTTTACTAGTTGTGTTTTTGCGGGGGTTGAGCTTTGCTCTTTCGGCCCGCCTCTCAACTGTCAATCATTGTTACGAGTCCTGCGCGCTATCCACCAGGCTACGAGGCCCCTATGTGGTAGAGCGTTGTAGCTCGATGTTGGCCCTTGTCTGCTGCCTGTTCTGAGTCGAAGCTGTAGCGTCTTGGAGACGATTAGAACTGCCTACGCCGAGTGCTACATTCTTGACTGGAGATTGTACTGTTGTCTATTCTCATATCGCTTCCTTATATTTGGTGACTACCCCTCACCATTCTCTACTAGGATAGGAGGATGTGAGAACGTGTAATTAGGGATAGGATTATAGCTTGTGTAGTTAGTGCTAATTAGTTACGCCATTAAGATAATGAGATAATGGATCGAGTATAAGGGTTACTCGCTACAATAATAATAATATTGCTATGTATTGGTTATTAAATTTTGTCAACATTTATGAATGGGTCTCTGGAGACGGAAGCAGCGTGGTGGAGCACAGCCTGAGGATGGGTTGATGGCTTGATGGGTTGATGGGTTGATGGGTAAGTACGCGTTATGAATCGGAGATTCATCAAGCATTATTGCAACCACTTATGACTCCTGTACACATGTTTCCTTAATCACGGAAACTTTGTTTTAATTGTATTAAACAGCTAACGGAGCACCACGAGGCTGTTCATAATAATAATAACCTTGGGTTGTGAAGTTCCCAAGCTCGTAAACTATTTAATAAATGTAAACAAAGCCGCCATCATTGTTGAAAGATGTACAGGTTTCGTAAGTGGGACGCGTTAAAAACGTGTCATGAATTCTGGCCAAATTCAGACCAACTTTGTCCTGGTGTTGGATCACTATCTCAAGTGACTATCCACACTTAAGTGGCCAGAGTGTCTTGGTGTTGCTTCTGTAAGTTATAAGTGTGTGCACTTAGACTCTCCACCCGAGAGAAACGGGAACACCCGGCGAGAAACAATGGGCAGAGTTTCTTTCACCCTATGCCCCTGTTACCTAGCAGTAAAATAGGTACCTGGGTGTTAGTCAGCTGTCACGGGCTGCTTCCTGGGGGTGGAGGCCTGGTCGAGGACCGGGCCGCGGGGACACTAAAAAGCCCCGAAATCATCTCAAAATAACCTCAAGATAACCCGCACAAGGCTGATCACAAACGGGAGAGGCCGACGCAACAGTGAAGGCCACATCCCGTTGTCCTGATTTATCCCTGTTGAGCTCTGGCTCTTTGGTCCCGCCTCTCAACCTTCAATGAACAGGTGTACAGGTTCCTGAGCCTATATCTACACTTGAAACTGTGTATGGAGTCAGCCTCCACCACATCACTTCCTAATGCTTTCTATTTGTCTACTACTCTGACACTGAACAAATTCTTTCTAAAGTCTCTATGGCTCATTTGGGCACTCAGTTTCCACCTGTGTCTCCCCAGTGCGCGTGCCTCTTGTGTTAAATAGTCTGTCTTTATCTGTCCTATCAATTCCTCTGAGAATCTTGCATGTGGTGATCATACCACGCATTTGGTATGTGTGAGTGAGTGTGTGTGAGTGTGTGTGTGTGTATGTGTGTATGTGTGTGTGTGTGTGTGTGTGTGTGTGTGTGTGTGTGTGTGTGTATGTGTGTGTGTGTGTGTGTGTGTGTGTGTGTGTGTGTGTGTGTGTGTGTGTGAGTTATAAAATAGAAATATTAAAATTTTCTGTATAAAAAATATATAACAGATAGAGCGAAAAATAGGTCGGGAGTCATTACATCAGACAACCGACGGCTAGAAAGACCAGGGGCCCAAGAGCTAACGCCTCGAACCTGCAGGCACACATAGGCCAAAGCGGCAAATTACACATTCCAAAACCCGATACAAATCTCTAAAACAATTTCCCAGCTCCTTAACGACAGGTAATATGTACACAGAGGGAAAAGCCTTTCAATATACACCAAGGTGTGACTACCTTGAACGTCTCAAAGAACCACTCTGAAGATTGTCTTAAATCAACACCATCAAAACACTGAAGATTGTCTTAAATCAACACCATCAAAACACTGAAGATTGTCTTAAATCAACACCATCAAAATAACAAAAAAATTCCAAAAAATATATTTCCCGCGCTATTTCGTTTGTTTATGCTAATACAGATCAGCTGATAAGAGGTAAACACAGGTGGGCCCCTTAGAGTGTGTGTGGCGAGGCGCAGCAGATCACATGAGGCTGATAAGGCCAGTCCCTGTTGTCTTATGTTAATGTCCCTACGGGCGGTATAGGATGTTCCACTGCATACCTGTTATTAAATACAATTATTGGCTTTAATCCTAGCACAAGTAGAGGCTTTTGTATTGTTGGTAGGTCGGGTAGTTATTTATTAAGGGGTAGTTTCAATATTTTCCTTTATTGGTTGTATTAGTTAATTATTAGTAGTGATTGTGGTGGTAGTTTTGAATACGTAGTAGTAGTTACTTTAGTTTATAAGTGTAAGTAGTTTTAGTCGTAGTTTTCGTATTAGTTGTCTGAAGACAAAGCTAACTTCAAAATTTGTTAGTATTTAGTCAGTCAGATGCACGTATAGTAGGATCTGAGTCCTATTTTATGTCTAAGAGATTAGATCATTGCTCTAGTTTGTGTCTAGGGGAATGGATCAATCCTCTGATCAATTCTCATAGACTCAAATTAGTGGATTGATCCATACTCCTAGACACAAACTAGAGGAATCATCCATTCTCTTAGACATAAATTATTGGAATTATCCATTCTCTTAGACACAAACTATTGGAATCATCCATTCTCTTAGACACAAACTATTGGAATTATCCATTCTCTTAGACACAAACTATTGGAATTATCCATTCTCTTAGACACAAACTATTGGAATCATCCATTCTCTTAGACACAAACTATTGGAATCATCCATTCTCTTAGACACAAACTAGAGGAATCATCCATTCTCTTAGACACAAACTAGAGGAATCATCCATTCTCTTAGACACAAACTAATCATTTAGTTTGTGTCTTGGAGAACAGATCATGCCTTCAATTTGTGTTTAAGATGAAGGATCATTCCTCTTGTTTGTGCCTTAGAGATGGGTTCATTCTTTTAGTTTGTGTCTAAGAGATTGGATCATTCCTCCAGTTAGTGTCTAACAGTATTGTTAGACACTAACTGTTAGACACTTATGTTATTATTATTAACATTTTTTTGCAGTTAGAAACATTATTAACATTAGATTTATCGTTACAGTTATTACAAATAACACATTTTTGCTAATTATTCATCATTATTATTAGTAGTAGTAATAGAATCCTAACTTGTATTACTTATATTATGATTGTAATATTATTTTAGTTTTCCTGTAATTTTTGCTATTTCCAGTAATAAGTACTTAAGCCTACCGTGTATGACTCTCAAGTAAACACTGTGTTTGGTGGCATATAGATCTTTACTCTGGGGATTTTCTATTGGACACTCCCATTCCGGGTCGTGACCAGGTGTACCAACATGTATAATTAACACAGCACCTCCAGTGGCCTCCTTTGAGACCAGTTATAGGCATGCCAACCCCTGCTTGATCTGGGTTAAGACAACTTAATCCCCCATCAACGCTCACCGCGATGGGAATTCCAAAGGCCAATCAGGTGATAGGAGTACCCGGGAGGGTTGGCCAGACTGGGTCACCCGCCGTTCTCATCGGAAGGAAGAGTGACGTCACACCGGTGTGGGATGGGGGAGGGAGAGGGGGGGGGAGAGTAGGGGGGGTGTGGGAGGCCAACTTCCCAACATAGCGCAATCTTCTAAGGTAGCGTAACCTTCCACGGGATATACCAGAGTTGACTGTGTGACTGTCTGCCCGCTGGTCATGCTTGCTGGAACGCCTCTGCTCCCGACCGGCCGCCACGCTGACGTAACTCTTGAGTGACCGCTACTTTTGTGAATGTTGGAGGCGGGGGCGAGACAATGTTTAGGTAATACAATGGGATCGAACTTGCTTCTCTGGACGACTCAATATATATATTCTCATTGATATATATTCTGGCGATTTCATTGTGTGTTTTAGCTTGACTGAATCTGTTAACTCTCAATAATAATTTTTTTTTTAATTGAACAAATCGTTTGTATGGGATGTTAAATTAATGGTTTTGACTACTTCCGGGGAAATGTTAATTATTACCGACAATCTTTTTAAACGGAATTATTGCCATTTTTTTTGTTAACCTGAAGATCTGTTTTAAATGTATTTCTGAGTTGGATTGACAACTCTT